AATATGGGAACCACAAAGCTGTGCCAACATTGTCTCTGCATCTAAAATATCTGCTTTGCAGTTAGTTCACCATCCAGTTACCAACCGTAAAAAACTGCAATTCTTGGATCTGAAGCAAATTACAGGGGGAAAAAAGAAAAAAAAAAAAAAAAAGAACATTTAACTTGGACTTGGATAGCATATCTTTTTCAGTAACACTTGCTTTGGAAACAAAGACAATTCTGAAGTAGTAACATTAAACTTCTGATCAAAACACAGGAACAATAATAGTTGCCCACAAAGTAGATTAGCAAGGGAAGATGCCTTAGTGAACCCGTAGTACTGCTTACCTATATTCTGTCTTCTATATTTTTACAATATTTTCAGGAGCTTAAATTATGAAGGTTACCATGCAGTTGATATATTTTATTGTTTAAAAAATACACCTTTGCAATACTATTGTCAAGTGAGTCTCATAAAATAAGATTTTCTATTTTGTCTTCCTCTAAGATCTACAAAGAGGACCCAACTACAAATTCACACTTTTCATCAGCACAAACAATAATGTGATCAAGACAGAAGTATAATAAGTGTGAAATAGTAAAGGATTTCTAAAAGCCAATATCAAAAATTTTAAAAAGCTTTTAAATTACGTTTCAATAGGTTTGTCATATTCACTTGGAATAAACCTAGGACCCAAGTGCTAGATATCAGGCTCAGGTTGTAAAACCTCTTTTGATCTTCAATGTTATACTCACTGCCACACTATTAAAGCAGACTTTCTTTTTCTAAAAAGAGAATGGTGAGAGGTCAATGCCTAAGGATTCTGTCCTTATGGAGAGAGAATTCAAAGACTAAACTGACTGTTGTGAAGCTTTCCAGTGGAAAAGGGAGTACTTTCCCAGTAAAACTTAATTTAAAACAGTAATGGGTGGACATGTTTTTGGCCAGGCACTAGCCTGAAAACAGAGAGTGAGGGTTGAACAAAATCAAATGTATTTATATTAATTTAGTCTAGAGGGAAAGGAATGCTTCCCTGTTCAGCAATTTCTTAAGTCCCTTGCCAATTCTAACATCCCCTGATGTTTTCATATTGCTTATGGTGCTTTTCATTTGCGTCACCCAAAAATCACGCACAAGAGCAAGAAGGTGAGTGACTGGAACTTAGTGAGATGCTGAAGAAGGTGGAAAGAGCAATGCAACAGCAAAGGCAGGACAGTGCACCTGGGATTACAAACAAAAAAGCAGGAATTATTCCATTCCCACTGAAACCACAACCAGGCTCCTCACGTCGGTCTCACAGACCTCATGAGAACACACATCCCTACCCAGCATCAATCTCTGAGCAATTTAGGAGCTTCTTGTCACCAGAAATCTTCCTTAGCTGTTCTCAGATTGAAAGGCACCTTGCCTTCCATGATTTGCCTTCCCAGTAAATTTCAGTGACATCATCAGGCCTCTCCCTTTGCTTGTTTTCATCTAAGACCTACAGAAGACATGGATACCACCAAAAAATTCTCATTAGATGCTTCAATGGAAATCTGTTCATGTGACACTTTTATGAAACACTAGAAACATGAAGTTCAATACAGGAACAAAATGAGAGGTGTGTGTGGCCAGAGATATCTTCTAGTATGTCTCAGTCAAAAGAGGTGGACTAGAACCAAAATCTCCCTGATTTAGTTCTCCTCTTGCCATGTACAGAAACCTTTTTAAAACGTTTTAGAAGAAATAAAATATACAGCAATTGTGAAAGTATGTGTTCAGTAATTTGGGGATAATTCACAATTACATTTTAAAGAAAACAAGAAACCTCATGCTATCCACTAACAATAAAATTAGGCATTTTTAACTATTTTCTACAATTCACGCTTATATTGAATTTTAAAATGCCTAATAGCAGCATAAAGAAAATTAATATTTTAAAAGTGGGTTTGCCAATTATCACAAAATTAATCACAATTCTAGTCGGTGAGCTGAAAACATCATCACTAAAGGGAAAACAAAGCTCAAAAAATGTGTTTACTTGCTTGTAACCTGAGGTCTGAAACGCCATATATATTCCTACTCACAAGAAGCACATCCCAGGCTCAGTTCTGAAAATGCAATTTTAAATAGATATGTTCAGTAACACTTTCTCACATCTGCTCTTGCGTGCTGTACAACTCACAAATATTTTGTAAGTGCAGCTATAAAATCTGGAAGTAGTTTATGCCCATCTTACCCCCCACTAGCATTGTACAGTACAGCATATTTTTCGGAATTACATGCTGTGATCATCACTGTTTATCTGCACAGCAGCTCTGCTAGAGCAGAATTGCATCCAGCAACTCGTGTAATGAAAATTCCAAGGAAGGCACTGCTTAATGTGGAAGTACAGAGTCCATCACAAGAACCTCTAGCTTTGGTAACCTTTTCTCCCTCTAGTGGCTTCTACATTCCCACTCATAGGCTATTTTACCTTCAGTAGTGATGTTAGAGACAATTAAAAGCAATTTAAGTACTGTTCTCTCAAATGAAGACTTAGACTCAGCCACCAGGTTGTAAAAACACAAATGTAATCCTATGTGGCCAATTTATTCAGTGACTGGAATGAGTCTGAGCAAGCTGTGTAAAAATGTCCTTACCACTTAAAACGGTCACAAGAAGCTGAGAACATGTAATTTTCTAGAACACAGGACCTAACCCACCTGAATAATGGTTTAGAATGGGCAGTTTTACCTTGTCCTTCACACAAAGTAGTAAGTCTGAATTTCTCTCTTATGACAATGAACTAGGGCTCTAAGATGCAAGATGCACTGCAGCACCTGAAGTAGAGGTATGATCACCAGTAATGACATCCCCTGATTATTTTCATGAAAGATTTAAGATGAGAACATTGTACAACTGCATCTCTATGAATTACTCCAAATAATCTTTATGAGCTTCTCACATCAGTTTCAACAGCCTTCAATAATACTGAAAAAATAAATTAAAATGCAAAAGAGGGTCTGTAGCCTTAATGAAGAGATTAAACGCTAAAGCCATGTAGGAACATTTAAAATGTGTCTTGTAAACAAATTTGTCATTAATCAAAGAATAGAATGCCTATGATCAGATAGACTTAAAAGGGAGGATTGAGATACTTTGTGTTGGTTTATGCTGATCTGAATGATACAGTAGGTGAGATATTACTATTCTTTACATATATATAGATCTTTCATCTCAAAGTGTAAAATTTTCTACACTATTTTAATTAGTATAATTTTAACTTCCATTAAGTGTTTCTGAAAAATATCTAATCCATATTACTATCATGGACACCACTGCAGACACAAGCTTATTACAGAGATCCCAAAGGAATTTCAGCAGCATCCAGAGCAGCACTTGGGACCAACATCCACCCTGCACCTGCACCAGGTGCTGCCTTCTCCTTGCTCCATCAGCAAAGAGATCATGAAGCACACAGACTTCACAGCAGCAGACAGAACTGAGTCTTAAGTGTTTTAGTGGGCAATGTTTGCAAATTTAGTGTTTCTGTTTGGCTTTTGAAAGTGTGAATCACTTTGTATTTAAGAACATTTGAAATTTAATTTTATTATGAGTCTGGAAAACATTGCTGCCTGTAGCAGTGTTCACTTTAGCAATACACTAGTGTATAACTATTATACATACTAGTTTATTTCTTTTTATTTTCAGCAGAAAACCATACAATAGAACCTACACAAAACTTGTTTGCTTTACAGCACAGGAAAATTTAAAAAAAAACATTTCTCTTTCCATACCAAACCCAAAATGTTCTGAAATTCTGCAATCTAATCCCCAAAAAGGTTTTGTTTCTAACAGTACGAAATAACTAATGAACCTCTACTATTCTCCACTTGATCAGCAGTTGTATATTTTAAATCAGGTAAGAAAAAAATCCACATTTTTTCAAAACAGATTTGGATAGCATGATGGACATCTGAAACAATCATATAAGTAATACACAAAACTTCCACATACAGTGTTTTGTATGCTTTTTTTGTGCTGAAAAAAAACCAAAAACAAACTAGTATATATAATAGTTATACACTGGTGTATTGTTAAGGTGAACACCAATATAAGCATGGAATGACAAAGCTTCTCAAAGACTAATTTGGAGTATAAGATTCAGCTTTTCCCTGGAGTCGGCAATCATTTCAGATACAAAAAAACTGCTACTGATCCTTTCAGTATCAGAACAATAGCCTCCACTTTACTTGAATTCCAGTTACCAACAACAGACTCCCCTGAGATTAGTTCCCTCAACAGCAAAATGTGTGTGTCACAAAGGCTATGTAATATCATGCTGAATACTCTTCCCACACCTTTTTTTGTTTTTTCAGTCTCCTTGTTTTGTCTAATAGTAGACAAAACAAGAAGAAACAGTAATTTGGAATAAAATTTGAATTGCAGGCTTGCTGGCAGAATGTTAGATTTGTGACCTACGACTCCTAGTTTTTTATATCAGTTTTTAATGCTACTTGCATTGAGAGTTTTGCTGGAGTGAAGTTTGTAATAACAGTCTTTTTCAGTTAAAAGTGTATAATCCAGGTTTTTGACTAATGATTAGACTGTCTCTATAAAAATAGATGCCACTAAAACAACATTTGCAAGCCTTCTACAAAAAGGATCCAGACTAAAGATGCAGGCTGTTTCCATTCTTTTGCAGCCAAAGGTCAGAAGAAACTGAAGTTGCTAAAATGTCATGCCTCCTTTTCATTTCAGTGCCACTGAGACATTTGGAAACAATGAAGAGAGAAGAAGAAAAGTGAGAAAGCCCTAACAGACAACACTTCCAGCAGAAGTACAATTCCAGAGCTGCTCTTGATTAAAGAGAAATATGCAACGCCTCTGCAGATGAGAAATGTATTATTTTCTTCATCTGCAATTTTATAAATTATATAATACACGTTTAAATTTTTATATGCAAGCATTATTGAGTAAAAGTACCATTGGCAGATGGGTTTGAGTGTGGGGTTTTCTTATATGGTTAAGGACCAAGACCAGCATAATCTTACCTTTTTATCTTCTTTAGATTTCCTGATACTGTGCGGAGGGCCAAATTTGTTCTGAATGCAGAACATTTTCTTGGACCATTCACTTTTGTGGGATTTGAGCTGTGGCTGACCAAAGCTGCCATCCACTCTGTATCTGTCAGCTGGAATCTTACTCATTGGAGGGGGAAGGGTGCCACAGTTCACACTCGACCAGCCATCTGTGGAGTCCGTGTAGGACTCCTGGTCACTGGCATTTCCATGCTGCCACTCCTGTAAAACATGCACAGGCAGCCACCTCTGATTGCCCGTGCCTGCAGTGTTCTTCTTGGATGGGGGCACTGAATTTCGGGAGGAAACCAAAGGAACTTCAATGCGAGCAGAAGGGCTCAAGTGTTTGCTAACATTTTGGGACTTATCATTCTGAATTACTTCTAAAGGCATGTTTCCCTCTTGCTCATGACAGAAGCCATTCCAATGGGAAGCAGGCTGATTTTGTCCCCTTCCTACTGGATTTTCCCAAATGCTGCTAGGAATGTGTTTACTTGGATTGGTCCCTAAATCAACCACCAGAACTCTATTATTCTTTTCTTCTTGGTTGAAATTTCCAATTCCACTGTCACTGTTACTGCTTGTACTATTGTTCTGATGAGCATCTGCATCACCATCAAGGAAAGCCCTCGCACGCATTCCCTCGATCAGTTCCCCCATATCCCTATACAGGACAGAAATAAACTGCAGCACAGGTAGAGATGATGTTGGAAACTCCAGACAGCCATTTGTATCTGGATCTGCTGTACATTCCAGTCCAAAACGTCTTGCTATACCCTGGTGAATTTTATGATGAAATAATTCAGGATCCACCATAAAAACATGGCAAGATGTCCTCAGGACCCCTTCATCTTCCTGAGCCAAGCTTGCATCATCATTTGTCTGCATTGTAACTAGTCCAAAGAATCTTCTATCATCGGGGCAAACAGCACTGAATGCCAGTTTCTCTGCAGGATATTCTGCCACAACACCTGATTTGTCACTGCAGAGCTGAATACAGTCATGCATTATCTTCATCATCACCAGGGAATGGATTTTTTGCTCTGCCCGCAGACGTCTCATACACCCACGAATGGCCTGCAAACTCTCAGTTTCCAGATTTGCAGTTGTTGAAGGCAGTTCAATGGAGCCTAAATAACCTACAATCATGGCAACATTCAAAATGCTTGCATCTAATCCAAAGTCTTCTGCACCTTCCAGTCCAATTCTAAAAACTGAATCATCATTCAGAACTTTGGCTATTTCTTCCTTTGACAGTAGGTTTGGATTGCTTACATTTTCATTGCCAGTTTCAAATTTCGTAGCAGCAGAAACTGAAAATGATCTTTGTTTTGGTGCAGAATTATCTGAATTACCAGCACAAAGAGCAGGATTCTCAAAGATCATGTTGAAAATGCCACCAGACTGCATTTCTTCAACAACTTTCTCTGCTCTGTTTATACCCAGTGCTTTAGAGTCAGGTTTGGGTTTCAGCCACCCTTTCCCATCATAAAAACCAACTTCTTCATCACTTGAACATGAATCCATGTGACTGATCCCTTCAGCAATGACCATGTGCAGGACTCCAGAACATTTCCCTATAAGTTTCACTACATCTTCATGAGAGGCTTTTTTCACATTGATTTCATTAACTGCAAATATCTGATCTCCTGCTTTAAGCCCAACATAATCTGCAGGGCTTCCTTTCATCACACAACTGAGCACACAAGGAGCTTGTCCAGAAAGGGTAAACCCATAACCTGCTCTTCCTCGGGCAACTTCCACGCTCCTGATCCGTGGAGGAGCGTGCATGTTGAGTCGACGTTTGACTGTTTCTCCTGGTCTGTACATTTTGGAATTTTTTTCCTTAAATAGGAAAACTTTTATTTAGTCCAATTCTTTTTCATGTTTCAAAAGTATCACTTCATCACTTCATCTGATGAAGACCTAAAGAAAGAAAAAAAAAAAAGACATTTTAATTCTCACCATATTTCTGGTTAAGTACTCACTATTCCCTTTACTGTTCAGAAAAATTGCTAGTGAACTCCACCTAAAACTATTGCCAGAGAATTAACAAAACACTCAAGACGGTTTGAAAATAACAGGTACCACAGTGTTGATTTTAGTGATGAGAAAGGAGTTGCAAATGCAACTATTTGCAAATGGAAATAAAGTGGCTGTCCAAAACAGGGCAAAGAACAGGATCCAAGTCTTTTGATGTACAGCCAGTGTTTTTTATACTAAGCATGTTATGTCTTCCCCAACTCCCCCACACTGCCTACTATTCAGTTACCTTCTGGCTTTCTGCACCATTGTACTACCACTGCATTTTGCAGCAGAGAGAAAATCTTTATTTAAGCTCATACATCCTTTCCCAGAAAAATAAAAATGAGAGCTCATGCTCATCTACACCTCACCCCTTTACATTCAATGTCCAGAAACAGGTACCCTTTAAAAGGTAACATGTAACATTTAAAAGAGATTAATTATCCCTATAGTTGCCTGTATCTCTCCACTGACTGTAATAGCAGCTTAAAATAAATACCTCAGACTTCAGCTTCCCTACATACATTTCACTTACATATGCAATGACAAGTGGACATTCAGTCATATATCAGACAAAGGGATCCAAGATTAGATTTACTGTTACACCCATCAATTAATCTACTCAAAACAATTTATCAGAGAGCAAACACTGTAAAAATGCATTTCAGATCATCATTCCAACATTCCAACATGTGTTTTAGTTTAACTTAAAAATTCAAAAAAAGGGAAAAAAAAGGAGTGAAAAAGACACATGCTGCCAGTATTAATCTAGTCATGACTTTACAATTAACTTACAACAGCTTTGTATGAACAGCAAGAAGTAGAATATTTCACTACATTTGGTGTCAGCACTGAAGTCTGGATGTCTTGTTCTAAATATACTTGGGCAAATTCCATTGTTTTAGAGAGGTTTCCCCCACTAAGCAGGTTAAAATGAATTAAAATTACTAACACAAATAAAAGAAATGGCAACTTGTTCAACTTTTGAAACTATCCCCTTGTTGCATGGTATGAACCCTCACTTCTATAGGTCTGGAGGATGACTGACAGAAATAACCACGGGCCTATAGCTACATAAAATTGCAATAAACTCCATCTGAGCAAGTAAGAACCGATCTGACAATTATTACACTGAGCTGGTTCACAGGCTTATTCTTAATTCAGTCACATTGTAACATCCTTAAAGTGTATAAAGTACTTGAAACCAAGTATCTTGCATCTGTGGGCAAAATACAGGCAACATTTTAGATAAATACACTCACATAAAGTTATAAATATACATACATGAGACAACACATTTCTTTATCATAACTAACGTGCTAAATTAGTGGTGTCCCACCCACTATTGCATGGACAAAAAATGACCAAGAAATCCTACTGACATTGCCCTCAGCTACAGAATGTGATTAAATCCACAGCACACTGCTTTCAGTATTTCTGCCTGGGTTAGAAGAAACAAGGCAATTATTTCAAAAGTTTACTAATTAAAAAACAAACCTAAACTAAAATACAATTTAGGACAATAGTCTTAACTACTTATCTACATACAACCTACTTGATTATCAAATTTAAGAAACCACTGCTGTTTCTTGAATATTCTGCTAAACACTCAGCTGAAGAATGTAATTCCCATAGTACCCTTCCAAACCCAAAACAGGACAGGTTTCAAGATACCAGAAGACATCCAGTTGGCTTTACTTTTTGGGGTTTAGTTTTTATTTTTTTGAACAAAGGGACATCAGGTTTTTATGTCTCCACAGTGCAGCTGTGACTATTCAATATAGCATGTTTTTTTGCAAATTGTTTTAATATAGCAATTATGCAGCTTCATTAACGATACTTTTCCTATAATTAGAGGGAAAAAAAAACCCAAAAAACTTTGCTTTAAGAAGTAATGAAACTTCACACTTAACCTTTAAATGGAAATCATAACATAAGAAGTGCTTTGCAAACATTGAACCAAACTTAACTCTTACATTGCAGTTAGAAAGCCCCATTAACTTGCATCCAGTCTCATATCTTAAATGTAGTTTAATCCTTTCCTGATGAGGCTAAAAACTTGGTAATCAAGAGGTCACTGCATTCAGCTATCTCAAATCAGGTCTAGTACCTTTTGAGAATAATCATTAAGTATTCTAATATATAGTTCTCAAAAAATAGAACTAACAAATGCCCAACGGTAAAAAAAAAAAAATCTATCTAGGAGCATGATTATATACATGTTATAATTTGCCTTACAGTGAATATTTCTGTTCTCAGCTGGAGAACAGCCTAATGTGACCCCTGGGTACCCTCCAAAACTGTGCTGTTAACCTGGTCACCATAAAGCCCAATAGTATCTGGCACCTAAAACTGTGCAACTAGCTTGCAAGAGGAAAGGAAACAATTGAGTAAGAGATTATAAATAATCTCCTTTTAAAAATATAATAAAAAGCAGTTGTTACTAGAAAAGATTCAATATTGTAATGTTGAAGTGGCTGATAAGAAAAACAGATTTTTTACAGCTATCTCTCTGATCTATAAAAAATATCCTAAATGCCACTATAAAAAACACACAATGAAAATGCAGTTAGGCTGCTCTTGGGAAGAGGCAAACCCCAATGCTGCCTTACCTCAGAATTCTGCATTTGCTAAGCGAGGTTTTCCTTTTAACTCTGTTCACAAGTCAATTTACCTACTTGCCTTCGTAACCTATGATCCTTACACATTAAGCATTTATTATTATTATTCACTGATAATGAAATGTCACTCAAAAATCTGATGATTATAAAAATGAAACAGCAGGCTGCTAACATATTACTTTTCCTCTAATAATGATGTTCCAGAGGTGTGAAGACTTTCAGATCTTAACATATTTGTGAAATTTTGTAGGTGTAAAGTTAGGAATTAACTCAACATTCAAGGGTTTTTGCTACTAATGTGTCTATAACACTAAAAAACCCAAAACAAAAAAATACCAACCAAAGAAAAACTGTATTACTTCACTAGATCACCTCTTCCCTTCCTCAGTACCTGAATATTACTGTTCAATTTTTATGCCAATTACACCCAGGACAAACAACATGTCATTAAATTTATTTAGGAAATGTCAAGACAAAGGACAAATGTATCTCTTCTACAAGAACCCTCAGCATCCACATATGTTTTACTGCAATAATGGCATGACAGGTAAATAGAAAAATTATTAAATTAGTGTTTCTCATAAGCAGAGATTAGTTGATTGTCAAACTGTTAAGAGACTAGTTCAAAACTAAATTATCAAGTTATCTAATTGGTATCTTTTCTCCTAATTTCTTTGCAGACTTGAAACCTAGAGCTGAAGAGATATGGCAGAGAAGTAGCACAAACTTCCACAGTTCCAAAGTAATCATGTCTGAATATCCTTTTCCTGTAATAAATTACAAAAAGTGTAGTCTATCCAGTGAAACAAAAAGCGATTCACTTGCACTCATATAAAGCTTTGTAGCTTTATAACTACAAAACATTTCACAGAACATTTCAGGCAAAAACACTAACATGCACACATTAAGAGTTGTTCAAGTAACATAATTTGTTCATACACAGCAGCTTTGACACAGAACTGCAAAACAAAATAAAACATTCAAGTTTTCTGCCAGCATACATTCTGGTCTACCATTTGAACCAATTATTTGTGGGGTATAAACCACAAAAAAACCACCAAAAGTTACAGCTGAAGTGTACTGTATCCCACAAACACTGCATTTCTGTATGGAATGTTTTTACATATCCATGCTAGCTTTTCATGTCATTTTCAAACCCTCTGCTCCAAAGAAAATAACATGGATTTGCTTACTTCCAAGGGAGAGAGGTGGTTTGTTTCCTGCTTCTGGTCTTGTTATCTCATAGCAACAAAAAGAACAGAAACAGGAGGCACACTCCAGTCTGTGTTAAAGTGTAACTTAGCAGTTACAGAGGGCAGCCAGGGAGCCCGTGAAGATCAGACTGACCACCACTGCCTCCCCGAAAAGCCTCTGGAAATGAGCAGGTACTCAGCACTACAGGATCCATGTTAATGTGCAGAGACACTGTCTGGCTTCATTTTGTTTTTCAATAGTGGGACTGTTAAAGAATAAAGTATGCAAAGTGGAAGTGCACAGGGGAGAGAGACTGTTCCCTCATCCCTCACACAGGTCTCAAAGTAATGCAAAAGACTCTTCAGCATGGATGCCAGTTGTTGAGGCAGAACTGATGCCAAGTCCCTACAAAGCTCAAATGAAGCTGTAACATTTGAATTCCACTAACTATTCAAATATGGTACACGTTTATAGACAAGTCACACAAGAAATGTAACAGCACAACCTGTAGATGACAGCTACCAGTTGTTTGAGAACTTGGGCAAGACAATGTTTAAATAAAAAACATCTCATCAGCATTTCACAATTGACAAGACAGACCTTATGTTTCCTTTAGGTTTACTAGTGTGATCATTCAAAATATACTAACTGTAATTAATAACAGCAAGTTAAAAAGTAGTTGCTAATTAAAACTCTTCCCCCACTGAAGACTGTACGAAGTGTAAGGGACACAAATTGGACATTTGCTGTTTTGTCTGACAAGACTTATGTGAGTAAGGACAAAGTTTTCTAAACCTATTGTACAGACAGTCATGCACCTACAATTCAGACTAATTTATTTGCTGTATTTAAGAAGGTGTAAAGGTTTTGTTGGCAGTTAGGCATTTTCCCCCTCTTCTTTTCTTGCAAATTCGCTCCAGGGTTGTTGGGACGCCGGGCAGAGGGGCGGCAGCGGCGACACCCAGGCGGGATGGGCTCCGGGACAGCCGGGAGAGCTCGGGGCGCTCGGGCTGGCTGCGGCTCTGCACACCCGCACTCATCCCCAGGGACATCCCGCGGGCACCGGGTCCGCGGCTGGAGCAGCGCCCCGCGGGGTTGGTTACCCATTAACTGCCCGGCTCCCCGGGCAGCCGCTTCCCGGGGGGTGGAGCTGCGGGGAGGGGAGAAGCGGCACCTGAGCCCGCAGGGACGATTTGAAAAATCAAGCGGTAAAAGACGGGAGGGCACGGAGCGCCCGCGACCCCCCCCGCGGGCGGACCCGCCGCCCCATCCGCGCTGCGCGCCGGGGGTCGGGGCAGCGCCGCAGCCCGAGGGGCGCGCTCAGGGGCGGTCAGGGGCTCCCGTCTGCTCCCTCCCTCCCTCCCCTCGGCCCCTGCGCTCCCCTCCCCCCTCCCGCCGTCCATCTGCCGTCCCCGCTCCTCCCGCCGCATCCCAGCGGGGTCCCGGGCCGGGCGCTCGGCGGCGGGGGGGATGGGAGAGCCGGGCGGGCTGCGGTGGGCGCTGCCCCGCTCGAACTCACTCACCTCTGTCCCACGGGACTCCGGCTACTCCACCGAGACAGCGGCTGCCCCGGTCACCGGGGAGACGGCGCCGGGCTCGGCCGCACGGCGCTGCGGCCACTGGCTGCCCGGCGCTGTCAGTCACCGCGCTCGCCCGGCGGGGTGGCGGTCGGGTTCCCGGACAGAGAAAGGGGAGAGACAATACCCCGCGCCGGAGGACTACAACTCCCGGCGTGCTGTGCGCTCTGGCTGATCGCTCCCGCCGTGGGGAGCTGGCCGCGCGGGGCATGACGGGGCGCGTAGTTCGCTGGTCTCCCCGAGTCGCCTCGCCTCGCCCTGGGCTCCGGCGGGGCGGGCAGTGCGCAGGCGCGGGCTGGCGGCGGCCGTTCGAACGGGGCTGGGAGCGGCCCGGGCCGGGAGCGGGAGCCGGGCTCGGCCTCAGGCTGGGGCTCGCCGTGCGGGCACGGAGCGTCCGGGACACAGCACAGCCCGGAGCCCCCGGACGGTGCGAGGAGACACTGACAGCCCGCGGCTCGCAGCGCAGGTGGGGCATGGAGGCGCTCGGAGCTGCCTCAGACAGGTGTGCCTCGCCTTTGAAGCCCGGGAATAAAGCGAGACACAGACCAGGTAAAGGTACAAGGGGAGGGAGCAGCCTGGCACTGCCTTTTATCCGGGCAGGCTGAGGAGGTACTAATTAAGGCACTTGGTAGTAATTAGGTAATTAAGGAGGTTTGCCGCCTGGATGGAGCAGGGCACCGGCAGCAAGTGCTAAAAATACACACGGACATCTCTTCACTGCCAAAGGGCAACATTGGCAGCCCTTATTTTAAATAGGAGAAATAGGAAGAGGGGGAAAGAAGTTAACACCGGTTAAGAAATTTGTAAGGAATATAAGAGTCAGAAAAAGGGAAGAATTATCCAAATCTCCTTGACTTTTCTGCAGAACATGAAAGGATTTTGTGATCTTAGCTGAAGACTGTCGTCTTTAATTGTTAACATGTACTTGTAGAAATTCTTTGTATGCAGGGTGTTTAATTTTATTTTTCTGTGCACAGGAAGCCTGACACTGAACCAGGCACAAGTTGAAGGAGAATTCTTACCTTTTTCTGGGGTTTTGTTGGGTTTTTTCCCCAGTCTCCAGAGCAGGATATCTATCCCACAGCTCACTGTTGCTATTTTGTCTGTAAGATAACATCTAAATTGTAATACTATGGCTTAATGGTTTCACTTCAGTAAATTGTCTAATTCTTATCCAGTCTAGGAAATTGTTTCTTAATAATTCCTTCCTGAAATGAAATGCTTACAGGATACCAGAGTCTTTAGGAAAACACAAAAACACAGAGGAAAGGAAAAAGCTCTTTGGAAAAACAGAGACTCCTGCTCCTCTACTCTGACCCTCACCTCATTCTACTGCTTTTTTTCTTTGTCAATCCATCCCAAGGAGATTTCTACCAATCTGAGGCATTTCAGATTGACCTAGATCTCAGTTTTGTTTTCTCTCTTATCCAGTTTTATAGGAAAAGCTGCTGAAGAGAAAAAATAACTAAATAAAATAAGCATTCTTTCTTTTTCTCATCCTCACAGAAGACATCATGGCAGATCAGTGTAACAGACTTCCAAACTTCCTCAGATGTACTGTGTCTCATCAAAGTAATTATTAAGTCCTTAGGGAGACTAAAAATTCAAAACATAAGGAAGAAAATTGAGTAGTTGATTCTTTCAGGTGAGGTTAGGTAATTTTAAAAACTACTCCAGTGATTTAAATTTGCCCAAAGAAGCTATAATTCTTTATCCTTTTTACTGGGAAGATGTCACAGGCAAAGAATTGCATTCCACAAATCAAAGGTGTTGGTTTGCGTTGACATTCCTTAATAGCCTAATTATTTCCAGCTCACACATGAGGTTGTCAAGACTTTACTTCTTTTGCCACTACTTCTGTTGCTGTGTTACCCCAACAGATCTAGGACTGACTTTCACAGCCTCCTTGCCTATGGAATGGGAAATTGATCAATGACCTGGTAAACAGCTGTAAATGAAGAAAATCTCTTGGAAAGTGACAAGTAAAGTGGAATTTTAAGTATCCCACAGAGGTAACTGCAGGTCTCCAGCTGTGTCTTTATGGAGTTAACACACATAAATTATGCTTTGTTTCAAAGAGGAGGGATGCTAAAAAGTGCCATCAGCATCTGCTAACTAGAAACTAATTACTCCATGGCAGTGTCAAATTGCCCCTTCCAAATATACTGAACCTGTTGTATTTGTGATATCCAACAGAATTTCTTGCACTTTTGTAATAGCACAGGAGCATGTAATAAGTCTGGCTTCACAGAAGACTGTTTTGCACTACAGCAGAATTTCCTACTTAAGTAATACTCGGGAAGGAAGAAGTGAGAGCTGAAGACTGACATGCCAACAGGTATGCTCACACACTCGACTTGCAGTCAGAAAAATCCAACTCATCCGGAATCAATTTAGTGCTTTGCTTCAGTGCTTTTGGAAATGGTGATTAAGACTTCATGTTATAATCTGGAACAAGGTGATTAATGGCCCTCAAAAATCCACACGAGGTCTCAGCTGTAACTTACTGTTTTCACCACTGTTGGAGACAATAAAGGAAGGAAGAGTGTGAAACAAAGTGATAAGGATTTGTGGCTTTGGGGCTGGAAAAGCTTTGGCTTATAAGGCTAAGTAGCTTAATGTTGGGCATGCAGACATCTCAATCACACTGAGGGTGGCTGTCACAAAACAGCTTGTCAGGCTTCATCTGGAGAGGTTTACAATGCATCCTGTAATGGAGTGTGATTACTGCTGTCACAAACACCAGATGAAAAGTCAGAAAATAAACATAGTCCAGCATCTGACACAAAGTCAGTGGTTTTAATTACCATTGTTTAATTACTTTAGTTAAAGGAATGGAAGTATTGGTTGTTCCAAAGAGGTTCTTAGACATACAGAAAAATCCTCACATAAATAAAACTTATATAATTTAATGTTTTCAACCTGTTTAAAATAATAAAATTGTACATGATTGTCAGTATCAAATGCTTGTTCAGTTTACAAACATGATTCCAACTTTCCTAGCTTGATTTTGTTCTGAACAGCAAGGGAGGCTATGTGTCATATACATTGCCGTTAGCTTGTGTTGGCCAGTTAATACATAGTTGGGAGCAAAGTCGTTGTTACAGAACTTATTTTTTTAATTCCAAAAGCTCATCCTCTTTCTATTAACCAGCCAGTTCAAAGGGAGAGCAAAGATCATGTTTTGTATCTTGAGGATCATATGAGCACACAGCCATCAAGATTTTCCTTGGTTTACTAGTTCATCTAATATTTAGAAATACTTTTCCCTTTATTTTGAATATAGTTTTCTACCTGGTGTGAGACATTCTTGGTGGTGGGAAATGGAAGAAAATATTATTGTATAAATGCATTTTGGTTTGGATGATGGTGTTTCCCATCCATGCATGCTGATGTACAAAAACCCTTACAAGGAGCTGTGAAGTAGTGAAAATAAAGGGGGATGGATACTGATCCTGTTAAATCTTGACTGGCC